AAACAGGCCCCCAGCCAGGGGGCTTTTGAAGGGCGACCTCATTGATGGCCAAAAGCCGGAGAATTGAGGTGCCCCTCCACCCTGAAGGTCCTGCTGCTGAGTGACCGCATGGTATGAGTGCTGCTGACCGGGACAAGCACTGGAGATCGGGCAAAATAAATTATGACGAGCGAGGCCGAATGGCCAACAACGAACTGTGAGTCGGGTTGAAGCAAGCATGAAGATATAAAAAGAAGCTGCCCCCCAAGAGCGACGGGAAAGCGAGCAGGGGTTGGGAAAGTGAGCGGGGTTGGGAAAGTGAGCGGGGGTGGGAGGGATCCCTCCCAAACGCATAGACGAAACATGGAAGGAAAGAGGGTGGAGCAGGAAAATAAGCTACTAAAACTGTTTTAAGAGACTTACCAGAGCGCAGAAAAGCATTTGGGCGAATATCAGAGACTTTAGCAACCTTTTTGGAAAAGTAAACAAATCCAAAAAGATGGCGGGGAAGAAACCAGAGAAAGAAAAGCTGCTGAAATCGAAACTAGGGGCCAGTCCTCAAACAGATGAGGTCACTGAGCTCTCAAAACTCTTGGCTGACTCCATGCGCCCCCTGCTGGACGAGATCACTGGCATTAAACAACAACTGTCCGTAATTGGGCAGAGTGTGGCAGCGCAGCAGATGCAACTGACACAGTCCTTAAAAGCAACAGAGCAAATGGGAGAGAAGGTGAAGGAAATGGACGTCACTACTAAAAAAGTTAAGAAAAAGGTGCAAAAGCTGGAAATGAAGCAAGCTATAGAAGAGTCAAAGCTTTTACAGCTACAAATGGATAAAGCAAATTTGGTCCTACGGTTTCAAGGGGTCCCGGAAACTGAAGGAGAGAATCTGAAGCAACGGCTGAGTGAAGCAATAGCCCCAATGACAGATTTAACAGCGGAATACCTTTGCAGTGAGTGGTCTACAGGTCCTATTCATCGTACACCAAGAAAAATAATCTGCCTGGGGAAATAGTGGTCAGATTCTCGAAGAGACATGTGAGAGATGCTATTTTGAAAGCAAATTCGGGAACACCCTTGAAAATTGGGGGCAATAATATCAGGATTTTAAAAGATATTCCATTTGACAGAAGACAGAAGAGAAAAACACTATAAAGAATTAATTCTTTTCTTACAAACAAATGGCATCAGTTACAGGTGGTTAACCCCAGAAGGCGTCATTTTCAAGATTAACAATAAAAAAGAAAAGATTGACTCTGTTTTTAAAGCACGTGAATTTATGCGGACACAGCTTGGGGAACCAGAAGAGGGCAAAGAGGAGGAAAAAGAAAGCAAATCTGATGGCTAGTTGGGTTCGGGGTCTTCGGACAAGGACTCCCCCTCTGAAAAGGGGGCGGCTGCCCCCAAAAGCCCTTATAAACTGAGGATTAGAAAAGATAAGAATAAATAAACTCTGATTTGTGACTGAAAAAATGTTGAAATAACTTGGGGATGCTCTGGGAATTTCTTTAAACAATTAAAGGGATGGTTAAACAATAATTAATCTGGCATAACCAACTATGTTCATTGTATTATTAGTAGCTTTTTGAAAATAGCATGGTGTTAAACTGATGTATGATCTCCTACTCTTGGGTTTTTAGTTAGTTGTGGATCTTTTTTCTTTATTAGATGTAGTTCCCTTTCCTATATTTTCTGTTGTAGTTTTGTAGTCTGAAAAAAAACAATAAAAACCTCCCCCCAGGGGGATGGGAAAAAAATCTATATTAAGAACGTCACTTCCTGTATAATTGTTCTGAAGAGTTTAACATCTGTGTTTTCAAAGTCTTACAGTGCATTAAAGAATCATGAATTTACTGCAGCAGAAATTTTTTGTGAGCCCAGGCCACAATAAATGTATTGGTCTTTCAGCTGTCACAAGACCAAATTTATGACATGGTTATTAAATATACAGATCACAAAAGAGGAAACAATTACCTATATTGGGCCAGTCTAGGAAACACACAGTGCAATCCTGTGTACATCCAGTCTGAGTCCAATGAGTTCAGTGGGTTTAAATTAGAGTAACTCTGCATAGAATTGCACTAAAAATGTACCCCAAACATACAGCACTATCCACTAATCCCTGTTTCTAGCAGTTCTGGACCTTATGTGTACAGCCATTCTAAAGGTCCATATAATATTGGCCAGACAGGTTACAGGGGATGCCATGTCATACCTGGAGAATGGTCCTGCCAAGCTAATATTGGTTCCAGATGTTTGATGTATAGAAAAGGAAGATAAGAAGTCTGTTTGAGTTACCCCAGCAAAATCATGTACTGATAAGATTTTGCTTTGTCTGTGCATGGCAGAACTTGCTTCTGAATGGTAAAGGGGACGAGGTGTCACATCTCTTCCTTGGTCATCAAAAACCTACAGAAGCAATAAAAGAACAACATACTAAACAAGCCCTACCAGAAACCAAGGAATATGTAGCTAAGCTAATTCACTAAGACGAAAGCTGAACACTTACATGTAAATAAGTCCCTCTAGATTTAATGGGACATGTTTCTGAGGTTTTTTAACTATGACACACTCACTTGGGAACTCAAGTTTCTCTGAATGTCTACAGTTCTTGATGAAGCAGAGTAACACATTTTATTTCACCAGGCCTTTGAAGATGGCTAAGAGGTGGGAGCAGTTTGTATATGGTTCTGATTGATTTGTTTTTTAAAGGTTATTCTATTGATTTGTTTCATCATTTTATCATAATTTCAATTCTTGTGCTGGTTTTTTTCTAAGCAACCTTGAAGGCCATTAACTCTTCTGCTCCAAGTGAATGGTAAATTTTAGGTAATAATTTCCTTCTTCTGAAATTTTATTTATTTATTTAGTTATTGCATTTGTATCCCACCCATCCCGTAAACAGGCTCAGGGCGGGTCACAACATTTTAATAAATACAATAAAATTTAAAACACATTAAAACATATAAAATCAATAGACATACTTGTCATAGGGAGAATCTGGCCCATCGATGTAACTAGGTATGGCCGGTTATCAGTAAGTGGGAGACCACAACCTCGGGGTGGCCATATGTGGATGCCTGCTGCCTGAGCCAAAGGCCTGGCGGAGCAGCTCCATCTTGCAGGCCCTGCAGAATTGAATAAGATCCCACCCTGATCTTGATAGGGAGCATGTTCCACCAGGTGGGGGCCAGGGCAGAAAAAGCCCTGGCCGAGGCTAGGCGGACGTCCTTTGGGCCAGGGATCGCCAGGAGATGTTGACTCTCAGAGCGTAACGCTCTCCGAGGCATATATAGGAAAAAGGCGGTCACTTAGGTATGTTGGTCCCAGGCCGTATATGGCTTTGAAGGTAATTACCAACACCTTGAAGCGGAACTGGTACTCAACTGGCAGCCAATGCAGCTGACAGAGCACATGTCAAACGTGAGCCTGCACAGGCATCGATGTCAGCAGATACGCCACCGCATTTTGTACCAGCTGTATTTCCAGATCAGCTTCAAGGGTAAGCCTGCGTAGGGCGAGTTGCAGTAATCAAGCCTGGAAGTGACCATTGCATGGGTCACTGTAGCTAAGTCCTGGGAGGAGAGATAGGGCTTCAGTAGCCTGATCTGCCTAAGATGGAAAAATGCAGATTTGGCGACTGCAGCAACCTGGGCCTCCATAGATAAGGTATCCACTGTTACTCCCCGGCTCTTCACCGACTGGGCCAACACCAGAGGTGTCCCTTGCAATTTGGGAAGCCTGGTGCCCACCTCCAAACCCCCACAACCCAAGATTAACAAATGATCTAGTCAGCATGTGGACTAAAGAAAGTTTGAGATTTTATTTATTTAGTTAGTTAGTTATATCCACCTTTCCTCTTAGCTCTTGTGCTGGTTCTGCTTTTCCATGCTGGGCATCCTTGGACTTAAACATTCTGATGTTTAAAAAATACAAACTTTTTCATTACTGATAGCTACTGTATTCCTTTGAACACTGAAAGCTCCTTTTGAAGAAATTCTGGCCACTGACTTGAGAATAGGGTTCATTTGACCAATTAGAAACCATTATGAGGTAACAATTACCCTGTTATAATGCAGCAAAAACAGCTGCTGGATAGATAATGTATGGAATTATTTTAAATGCTGCAGTATAGTACAAAATGCCACGCTATTTGTTCATGCCTTGTCAGGAATGACATCAATAACCTTTGTCTCCCTTAGGATTCTGTCTTATTACCTGGATAAAATGTTTGCTGCTTGCAAATGATCCCTTGTCCACATTCTTCCCATCTGAAATTAGAATGCTCCTTCGAGCCAATGTTCCCACTCTGCTGGCTTGCATAGTATTAGTGTAACTCATTCGCCTAGCTGAAGATGTTGATGACATTAACTTCTTCGCCACATTTTGGTCCTTCATGCTCCTGGTTTGATAAAACAACATCTCTCTGAGGTTATGCCATATGTTAGTAGCTTCAAAGTGGAACAATGTTATTTTGCACTAAAGGTAAAGGTTTCCCTTGCTCAAAAGGTAGTTAAATCTGACTCTAGGGGGCAGTCTCATCTCCTTTTCCAAGCCGAAAAGCCAACGCTATCCAAAGGTGTTTCCATGGTCATGTGGCCAGCATGACTAAACGCCAAGGCGCACAGAACGCTGTTACCTTCCCACCAAAGTGGTACCTATTTATCTACTTGCCATTTCTAGCTTTCGAACTGCTAAGTTGGCAGGAGTTGGAGCCAGAGACGAGGTCTCACTCCATCACGCGGCACTAGGGTCTCTCAAACTGCCGAACTACAGACCTTCTGGTCTGCAGCTGAGCGTCTTAACCTAGCAGATGCCTATTACAAGTTTCTGTAGTTCCTATAATTCTTGGGAGGATTTAGAGAGGAGAAATACTTTCAGTGAAATATAATGACAGAAAGGAAAGAATTCTTTTCAGCAAATGCCACAGAGGATGGAGATTGTATAGCTTCACACATTCTCCTTTAAGTGTTATCACTCTCCCTGAATGTCCTTGTAGGAGTGGAATCTACATAACCTGACTAATGGCAATGATTTGTAATAGCTAATGGCTGCTTTGCATTGTGTGTCAAGTTGTCAGGCATTCACTGCTGTTTTGCATTGTGTGTCAAGTTGTCAAGCATTCACTATTGATGGAATTCACCTTCAAAGTGATATCAGTTTTAAAAGAGTACCAAAATTGAGAAGCTTATGGGTGACTGCATGAGTAACTCCACTGAATTCATATAAAGTACAAATACAGACAGGAAGGGAAAGCCTGGGGTGGTACTGAGCATTCCAGATTGCCCAGTAACTTAGCTGTTGTGGCTCTGGGAGAACCTTGGTGGGCCAGATATAGTTTATAGGCCGTATAATGTATATGTGTGCTTTAAGGAGACATACGTATTATGACTTAGTGGATAAATCACTATCACTTATTCATGAAATATGGATAATAGTGACCTACTTCATAGAGTGATTATATGAAAACAGTAAATTAAGATCCATGTTAAAATGACTAACCTGGACTGCTGTACCAGCCATTTTAGTGTCTCTTTGGGGATATATTGGGGAAGTTCTCATTGATACTGTGTTTTATTGTATGCCACCTTTTTTAAAAAATAGGCTAATTTTTAGGAAGCAGTACCCGGAAACTGTTTTAAATGGAAAGGATGTTAGGGATCAGCTACAAATCCCCAGTGCGAGGGTGTTGTTTTGAACTACGGAGTTGGGAGTACAGCATATGTCCCTTCCTATAGGAGACAAACAGCAGGGGATGAGTAGGATGGGGTGTTTGGATTGGGGTAGGGGGTTCAGTGCAATCAAAAGGCATCTTGGATGTTTCTTCTGTATGTAATTTAAAGAGTATCATAGTGCCATATTTATTGTTAATAAAGTATTTGTTTGATAACTTGAGCTTTGTTGTGGCCTACAGTGAGCTTTCAGAATAGTGTACTAAATATAAATAAAGCCATAATGTATTGGTGTGAAGCAAGGTATAAAACTATGTAAATAAAATAAATGTGCTGTTTCTTTAGAGACTTAATTGGATAACTGTTTAGGTTTCTGCATGATAAACTGTTGTGAACCTTGTCCAGTGCACTTCTGAGCATGCTGCCTGAGGCTTGCTATAGCACCCACATTTTAAAATGAGATTTCAGGACAAGATGGCAACAGGAATCTCAGGCTACAGATGAAACTAAAATTCAGAGCTACCCCTCTTGTCCCTGCTTCTTGCTGAGAGAATATTTACCAACACTTATAGTAATGTGTAAGAAGGGAAACTTAGAATCTCTCTCTCTCTCTCTCTCTCTCTCTAATATAAATAATAGCCATAATGTATTGGTGTGAAGCAAGGTATGAAACTATGTAAATAAAATAAATTACCCCAAACTCTTCAGATACTCAATAAAAAGGGTAGGGATGGGAAGAAAAGTAAGTTTTGGGGTTTGATGGCAGAATCCCTACTATGGAGTTTGTAGGGAATTAAAAGGGAAGACAGGATGTATTACAGACTTTATTGGGTTAAACTGGGTGAAAAAGAGGTTTCAGGATTCAACTCCAAAAATGGCTTCTCTGTCCCAGTAGACTCTGGCACACCTTGAAGCCTGCTTGTCACTTAATAAAATCCAATTAAGTCTGAAATACTTCCTGTGTTCCATTTAAAGTTTCTGCAAAGGGCAGACTAGAAGCTCCTCCAGAGAACGCCAAATATACCCCCATTTTGTTTTTTGTTCTAATCAATAGCATGATGAAGAGTTCTGGGGAATTCAAATACTTCCTTAGCTTTTGTGATATGTTCATTGATCCAAATAAAAATGTACTATATACTATAGTTCTTGGAACTTGACTGTGGACCTGCACAATCTTCCCACGCACATATACCCCCACCCCAGGAAGTCTTAAAATTTTTTATTCAGGCAGCCATAATTTTTAGCAGTATCCTCTGATTTCAAGAGCAGCAGAAAGGTGGGGTGCACTTCTTTCTCCCTTTCCTGTTACACCCAACATTGCCCCTCCCTCTTCCCAGTTTCTGCAACATTGTAGTAGCTCAATGACACTTACATATTGATGATAATGCTGTGTTTCTTGCCCTTGTTAGCCTGGATGGCATTGGGTATGATATTGCTGGACATGGTAGAACTGGCTGCAGATCCTGAGTGTCTCCTAGTAAGAGATATCAGAGAGACAACTCCACTTCTGATCCTTTGAAGCAGCAGCAGGAGTTGCTGTTGCCGCTAAAGAAGAGGATAGTATTGTCAAGGTCTGGGGTCTCTATGCCAGCCCTCTGAGAAATGGGACCAGCTCAGTGCCCTCAGGATGCTGGTGCAAAATCCAAGCCCCCGAAAGAAAGAAAAAACCCTCTCATAACAGTTCCTGCTTCACTCAGCAGTTCAAACAAGTTGTTGTTTACTTGGTAACCATGGCAGCTGCCTTTCAGCATGCAGTCATGTGATTGGCTGACGGTGAAAGTGAGAGAAAGAGAGAGAGAGAGACACAAACACAGAGAGAGAGAGACACACAAACAGAGAGAGAGCAGACTGAGAGAACAGATTGGGTCTCTTTTATTTGCTCCTAGTTCAGACCCTGGTGGAGAAAAATGATTTATATTTTCTTTACAGTGGATGCTGCAGCAGAAGCCAGAAACTGTTTTTCCCCATCTGCATCTTTTTAGTTCGGGTTACTTTATTGCCAAGGTCAATCATAGATATGAGGAAGAATATGCAATCCATCCTGTTTGTAAATTTGAACTACTTGTGTAAATTGTGCCTTGTACTCTCATAAACGGTGCCGTCTTTCATGTCCCCCCCTTTTCTCTCTTTCTAGATTGTTTACTTTTCATAGTTATATGATTGCCGAAGTCAAAACCCCACCATGACAGAACAATAAGTGAGAGAGATTTAGAGAGTGGCACCAGGTATTCTGAAGGCTATTTCCAAAGTATTCACATACTTCCTTCCCAGTGACTTTCCTTCTCATAATGACAGACATTATTGTGGCCCCTTCAAGCTAACAAATTTATGGTGGCATAAGGTTTCATGAGCCTGAGTTTACTTCTTTAGATGCATAAAGTGTTGTGTTCAGTTTGCAGAGAGATTTATACCCATGCTACAATCAACAGCATGGTATTGTGCAGGAGGGGTGAGTTATTACAAAGAGAGGACAGAAGCCCAGTTTTCCAGGATACAATGTGCTGTATTGCATTACAGAACACAGATGAAAACAAGATCCAGACAACAGAATAAATTATTTAAGCAGAGCAGGTATGGGCCATGCCCACCTGTTGTTGAATTAGTGTAGCAGGATGAATATGAATAGTGTACATAAAGGAGTAACAATTACTTATTTGTAGTGAGATACTATCCCTACTCTTTACATTTGAGACTAATAGTATTAAATCTTAGTATGCATTCCATCTCAGCAGCTTCTCACTGAGGTCTCTCCAAAATTCTTGTACTAAAGTACTGGAACCTTTATTACTGAGTGTCCAGGGAAGTCACAATGCTCCCCCACTGATTTCCATGTTTAATGTATGCTTTATGTCCATTTATTTATCTTATGTAGAGAATAAATTGTCTAGTTTGACCAATATGAATGGCAGGAAGCATTGCTAACATGTTATGTTATATATCACATTCGTCAGTCTGCAGATGAGCCTTGATACCACAGCTGATGTTGTTGCATTGGGTGATAATATCCAGGGGTCATTTCCTGCAGGAGCGCACAGGAGCGGAGCTCTGGCAGAAAGGAGCCCAGGGGGCAGGCGCATGCAACAAGCCCCGCCCCTGCTCCCAGCTGCCCTCAGTCGGGCCATGAGGAGCAAGAAGCAGCCAGATAAGTTGCAGAGCCTCCCCAGCCTGCCTTCCCTGGCCTGTGCTGAGGCGCAGGGCCCAGGGAAGGCCACTTGAGTGCCCCACCCCACCTTCCCCGGCACACACCAAGGCACAGAGCCCGAGGAAGGTCTCCGGAGCACTCCACCCCACCTTCCCTGGCCTGCCTGCCTCAGCACAGGGCCTGGGAAAGATCTCTGGAGCCCTCCCGCCTTTCCTGGCCCACCTGCCTTGGCGGACAACCTGAGAAAGGCCAACAGAGCCGCCCCCTGCAGCCTTTCCCAGCACCCGGCTGGTGTGGGGTGGTGGCGGGGGCAGGGGCTTGATCAGGGTGGGTAGGACCTGCCTTGGCGGACAACCTGAGAAAGGCCAACAGAGCCGCCCCCTGCAGCCTTTCCCAGCACCCGGCTCGTGTGGGGTGTGTCATGCCTGCCCCTGCTGATGTCATGCCTGCCTTTGCTGATGCCCCTGAACAGGCTCCTGAGGACCCTGAACAGGCTCCTGAGGACAGTACTGCAGCAGAAAGGCAAAGACTGGATCCTGTAGCTGAAAGCTATCTAAGTGGTGAGGAGGATAGAGCCTCCCAGGGAACACCTGCAAGGGATCAGTCTCTGCTGCAGCCCAGTAATTCATCATCAGACTCGCCTCCACCTGTAACCAGGCTCAGGAATGTAAGAAGACAACAGCTGAGAGAGCGAAGGCAGAATGCACGCATGCGTGCCAGAAGATCTCTTAGCCCTGATTACTGACAGGATCCTGTCCTCACTCCTGGCTAGCTAATGAGTTGATTAGCTAGCACTGTATATATGCAAGTCTGTTGCCAGCAGTCATTTGTGCTGGCAACGTCGTTTGTTCAGGACCTGAATCCTTGCATCTCTGCTCCAGACCTTGTGGAGTTCTTCTCGGCTTGATCCTTGGCTTTTGACCTTTGGCTTTGTTGACCCTACGTTCATCTCTGACTCCTCTGGTATTGTTGTGATTTATGGACTTGAAACTTGGTATGTCTGACCCTGCTTTTGGACTGTGATTTAAACCTGCTTGAACCTTGCTACCTGGTTTGCCCGGCTTGACCTCAGACTGTTCCTGGACTTTTGCTTGCTTGTGTCATGCCCCCTGGTCCTGCCGTGACAGATTGCCAGCACCCACAA